TATATATATAATAAAAAGAAACAGAGAAGTACCACAAACACTGCAAATCACTTTAGAAGAAAGAAAAACGTCAACACAAACTGTCAGAAATGTGATAAAAGAAGACAAAGCTACGAAGAGAAAATGACAACCAGCGAGCCGCAAACCTGCTGGAAAAGAGAAAAACTACTACTGGCGGGCATCAAACTGTTAAAACAAGTGACAAAAAATGACTAAAGTGACACAGTCCTTTAAATTCGTTTGTGTCTCTTTTATATTCAAGCTTTTTAAATAAAGATAAAATTTGAATGGACATCTTTAAAATGATTCGATGATCTTTAATAACCCAACCAAGTTTCCAGCTCACACACACTGATCACAAACACTGCTGCGTGCCAGCGTCCAGGTCAAAAATGCTAATTTATAATAAAAAAATATATACATAAATAAACAAGGATGGGTGTGCGAAAATGAACAATTGTAGACCGATTAACCCAAACCATCCCTGTCAGAGTTAGATCAGGGAGAGATGCTGTGACCTGCTGTGACATGAACAGCAACACAAGCTCAGCTGAAACGCTGGAGCACGATTGCTCAGGAGAAAATCAGAAACCTACCTTGGCTCAAACTGTTTCAGGTGAAGATCAAACTCACTGATGGACGATGGAAAAGAAGAAAAAATCAGAAGGGTGACAAATGCACAAGACTTTTCATCTGACAGAGAGCTGAAACCCCGACACTTAACCTCCTCCAGAGGACCAGCGAGAGGCTGTCAGACGGCGTGGAGACGAGGAACAGAAACACCACCTGATGATAACACCGAAATAACAACAGAGCCGACGGAGCAGCGCCGTCCTCTCCTCAGCACCTCCTCTCCGTCTGCCGCCCGCAGGGTGACGTTAACAAAGAGGACACGAAATCAGCAAATCAGATCACGTGTAACAAATTCATTCAGAGCCAGGCTGTTTCCTGCAGCTCCGCTCTCACGTTTCCTCTTTAACGGGGGTCAGATTACTGAATCTGGAGTTTGGTGAGTCCACACCTCACGTCTCATCCTAAACTGATTTGGTCCTCCTCTGCTTCCTGCAAACTTCAATTCAGTTTGATTTACACACCGCCAAACCACAGCAACAGTCGCCTCAAGGTGCTTTATATTGTAAGGTCGACCCTACAATAATCCATACAGAGAAAAACCCAACAATCACATGATCCCATATGAGCAAGCACTTTGGTGACAGTGGGAAGAAAAAACTCCCTTTTAACAGGAAGAAACCGCCGTTTATCAGACTGATCTATGGACCAAACTGCATTTTATTCACCCCGTTACCTCAGCCTCGTCTCCTTTACTTCACTTCAATCAGTGCTGGGAGGAATTTCTCATTGTACCACCGCTACAGTGAAAACTTATCCAGAAGTACTCGAGCTGTACTTCTCTGGTCTCAGCTCCCTCACACAGACCTCCCCTCTGAGAGTTGAACCTGAGCTACAATCAGAGATCAGCTGTGTCCAAAAACAGCTGTTTGGCTCCGATTTAGTCAGATTTAAACAGGCGAGTTATGAAATCATCCTCCCGCCGTACAGGTGGCGTGAAGGATGGAAATATCTACTGAGATCAACCAATCGGTGCATCAGGCTGTAAGCATGGGAAGTTTAACATGGGAGTCTATGAGGACTGACTCACTGCTGCCTCCGCTGGATGTCAGAGGAACTGCAGGCTTTGGTCCTTCTGGTCCTTCACTTGTGGTACAAAGTACCAGCAACAACAGTACTAATCCTCACACGCCAAAGTACTGCTGTATACTATTACCACACCATTACACCCTATAAAATCACACAACATTACACCAGCTACCCTACAGCATCACCTACGTCTGCATTACATCACTCCATCCCAGAGGCGTGACGATGACCTGAAGAAGCCCAGCTGCTGCAGAGTAAACCCGGCCTGTGGTGCTTCTCTGAGCTGGTACTCACCTCTGGTCCTGACACAGCAGCAGCAGGAGAAGACAGTGCGCTCAGGAGGGAGAGCCGAGTCCGATAACTGCTCTAAATTTAACAGAAAAACATGCCGTACTAAGCATGGCTGCGTAGCTGCCTGCGCGCTGCTTATCGTCCTTCTGCTGGCGGGCCATGGCCATACAAGGCTCTGCAGGGCCCGGGGCCATTCAGCAGCTCCTCGTCACCACCGACACGTGGGGAGATAACCGCTAACGGCTAACAGAGGCAGGAATGCTGGGACAAGTGCCTCGCAGCCACCCCCATCCCCAAACCCCCACACATGACATCTGCACAACCTTCACAGGGAGGCATCCAGAGAGCGACACAATCACACCTTTAAACACGGTTCCTCACAGCAGACGAGCCTCGCACGACTTCTGATTTTATTGTAAGTTCTTAATATTACAACGAGATGCTTTTTGTGACTGAGGCTGACACCTGTGCAGGTTCACCTGCAGATAGAAACCCTTGCTGCGGGGTTATGAGGACAGAGTTCAGCTTTAAGCATTCACAGAGCAACACTTCCTGTGATTATCGTGATCATTTCCTGCAGCAACACGCTCGTGCTGCGGTTCAGTCTCAACGATGAAGGTTTAGGAGTGAACTGTAAAACTCGTGCTTCTGGTGTCTGTGCAGACCAATCATGAGATAAACACGGGGGTCAGCTGACCCTCCCAGAACCACGTCTCATTTTCTGTTATTTTCCGCTGCATCAGTGCAAGTTTACAGAAACTCGGACCTCCTCTCAGCATCAGTGACATGGATCAGAGAGCAGAAATCAGCACTGGTGCATTGTGGGTAAACTTTCAGGTGTCTGCTCAGAGCAGGTGAGAGCAGGTGCTGTTTGAGGCTCATGATAGCTGGGATGTTAACGTCCATACTGATGATGGCTCTGACCTCTGCTGGGAGTTTTATGAGAGTCATGGACACGTTTCGTTTTTACCAGCATGTATCCCAGCTCACACCAAAGGGCACTCTGGACCTTGTTCTCAGGATATTTTTACTTCAGACCAGCACTGTGTTATTTTTATTTATCTGTATCTGTCCTACACCAGTTCAGCCTGTTGTCCAACACCAGTAACTTTACCTGAGTTGGCGAGCTTAGTGGTACCATCTCTGTTACCTACACCAGCAGATCAAAAATGTCCCATAGTGCATCACCCCCAGTGTGCTCACTGTCGTTTCCTGGCCTCTGGCGAAGTAGCTGCTTCAAAAATGGTGTCATCCACCCACTTTTGAAAAAGGAACATTTGGATCCTCCTCTGATTGGCAGTTATAGACCCACCTCCAAGTTGCCACTTACTGCTAAGATCTTAGAGAAGCCTGCGGCCCTTCCTGAGACCTCACTGAGTCAGCTCTGAGAGCATCAAATGATGATGCAGAGTGACGACGGTTGCTGTTCTGTGTTGGAGCTCATCTTTTCATTCTGCTCAACAGGTGCTGGGTTGGTGTATCAGGATCTGGCTTGGAGCGCTTCTCTTCATACCTGTCTGACACCAACAAGCTCACCTGCTTGCTCAGGTGTCAGCAGGCTGGTGTAGTGTGGGGAGTAGTGAGTGCGACAGCTGAGCCTGAGCCAGCACAACAACCAGAAACAACCAGCAACCAGGTCTTGTAGGCTCAGATGACTGCTGCTGCAGCACAGGAGGAGGGGCCACAGCCCAACAACAGCGTGAGGAAGAGACGAGGACGGTGAAAGTAACGTGGTAAGAAAACAGATCACAGGTGTCGAACTCCAGGCCTCGAGGGCCACTGTCCTGCTTGTTTTCCAACTAACCTGCCCTTGTAGCTTCTTACTGGCAAAGCACACCTGATCCAGGTAATCAGCAGCAGGTTGGGCAGGGATATCTCAAAACCAAGCAGGATGCTGGCCCTCGAGGACTGAGGTTTGATAGCCCTGAAACAGATGTAGGGACATAATTAGGAAGGAAGAGACTCAAAGACTCAAGTAAAATAAACGGCCACTCGACTACGACTAACAGCTAACTGCTAACAACTGTTGATGGTCACCAGTGATGGGAATAACGGCGTTAGTTTTTTCAGTAACGAGTAATCTAACTAATTACTATTCCTATCGTTGCAACGCCGTCACCGTTACTAACAAGATAATGCGGTGCGGTCGCGTTACTGTTTTTCAACAGACGGTTGAAGCTGTCTTCAGCTTATCGCACCTTATATCAGTTGCACGGAGTAATCTGGGCGCTACAGCTTTAAGCAGCTGCGCGCTCCCGCGGACGGCGATCACTTTCTGCCCGATGATCAGTGTCTAGCACAACACCTGGAGCTCAGGGGGCAAAACAATGGCATGAGTGCTGCTGTTTGACTGAGGAAGAGTAAAGGAGTCGTGGTAAGACAATCACATGACCACTTACAGACAAAGCAACAAGGTGACATATACCAGTTTTTAAATTGTGTTGATAGGCCATGTAAAACAGAGTCATGCTAATCTGGCGACACTCTCGATGGAGGACATTGAACGACATCTACCAATTCAGAACCACGATAACGGAGTTCTGGCTGATTGGAGCCGGCTTATTGAAGCACAGGACGCAGCTACAGCTGTTCTAAATCCCATAAGGCTGGCCGGCATGATGGACAATGTTTTGAAAGCAATATGGATAACATGTTGGAGAAGAACGGGAATTGAGAGACCTGGTGACCTGTGACGGACATTAGACCAACTGTAAAAATTGGATGCAGTTGTTCGCACTAAACCCAAACGTTCACCATCTTCAATCAATCAATCAAAATGTATTTATATAGCACATTTTTAAGACCAAAGTGCTTTCCAGTAAAATCGCAGTACAAATAAAATCACACTAAAATATAAATTACAAATATATAAAATATAAGATAATTACATAATCTAAATACAGAGCCAGATGTAAATTACCCTAATTCGCCTTAAATGCCAGATCAAACAAATGCGTTTTTAAACGTGATTTAAAAGACTGAATGGAATCTGACGCGCGAATATGAAGAGGGAGAGTATCCCATGGCCTGGGTGCAGCAACGGCAAAGGCACGGTCTCCTCTGGTCTTCAGCCGAGACCTAGGTTGCACCAAGAGCAGTTGGCCCGATGATCTTAGTGCTCTCTGAGGGCTGTACAGACAGAGGAGATCAGCTAAGTAGTCAGGTGCCATATTGTTTAACATTTTATAAGTAAACAATAGAATTTTAAAATCAATTCGATATTTGATAGGAAGCCAGTGTAAATTTT